AAACCCATGCGCGGGATGAAATTGAACAATTAATTTGCCCCAAAATTTCCTTAAAGGTACCCTATTTAACCATTTAGTACAATTTTAAGGCTTTCCTTAAATTTATAAAATGCAGATTTAGTGAACAATTAAGCCTCAACTAATTACCACTAGCGATCCATTTTGTGGTGTTCTGAAAGACATCTTAATTTTCCTTTTAGCCGTATTTCGTTAATCTTTAGGGGAATCCTTAAGTTCGACATGATTCTTCATTTAAGGGTCCTTTGGAAAGCCTTAATTCTCCCCTAAATCTTAGTTCACAATTTAATCAACCTTTAAGTGTGACATGATTGTACATTTAGTGGTCCCTTAATTAAACCACTTTAATTAATGTTTCTCAAATCTCACTTCAGCATTTATTATGCATTTAAATTATTACTAAATAAAACAAAGTGTACAGTCTCTTCAATTGACCTTCCTTACGCTGGTATTTTATACTATTAAAAGCCGTAATTACATATTTTATATTGCTGTCTTTCAATCGTATTATTACTATTATGATTATTATCAACAGGACTTTTTAGTCCAGGAGCAGAAGGGGGGGGGGGGGGGGGGGGGGGGGGGGGGGGGGGGTATCGTAACTTATGAGAATATGTGATTTTGGTCTATTTTGGGACGCTGATGTCAAAAATCAATGTTATACGGGCCAATACCGGGGCCTTGTTTTGATCCATACAGCCTCGTTTCGGGGCATGTATGGGGAATACGTTAGTTGTCTTAGTTAGCTAGGGAGACGACCTAAGTCTGATGCCACCATGCCAGTCAAATATTTATCATCACATCGAGAGAGCTCATTATGTCGCGTACATCTTTCGACACGCCGATCAGCTGCTAATAGAACTTGAAATCCCCACCGAGCATGGATGGGACGGAGATGGAAACGTTGCCGTCTGGAGTGTCATTTGCTATCCCGAGGAGATTGATGATGCGCTACTCGCAGGCACGGAGAGTGAGAACAGTTCTACCTCCGATGATAACTACGAGGATGATATGGATTTGGACGTGGAAATTGAGACAGGAGCGAATTTTGAAAAGGAAAATGCAAGGTTTGTAATCAGAATGTACATGCTTGTAATGTCATGTACATACTTGTAATGTTAAAGGGGCAAGTGTATTGCTTTTTACCAAAGAGAACAGAAATCACTAGCTTTCTTGCTTATTTAAGTAGGATCTTCCCAATATTTTCACTAAATCAAGGACAAGTGTATCAAAAGGAGGCTAGAGGTCCCAATATATCTGTGCATATCTTCGATATTTGAAATTAGCGCACCGAAATTGAGTAAAATTACCAACTTCCTTGACTATCTAAGACACACATATAAGCACCAAAACGAGGCTGAAGGTCTTGGTATTTTCCTGTGTAACATCGATTCTTGAAATCAGCGAAATTGAACAAGATCACCAACGTCTTTACCTATCTAAGCTAACTAATGATTTCCCTCTATAACTGCACTGCAATCAACCAATCACAGTCGAGTATATTTTTATGTATATTATTACATGTAGTTAAAACAATTGCCAACTAATTATATTATGTCTATTTACATGAAAACGTGTTAAAATAATTTAATTAGGATTATAATATATATATATATATATATATATATATATATATATATATATATATATATATATATATATATATATATATATATATATATATATATATATATATATATATATATATAAGGGATGAGGTGATATCAGTTTTATCGCTCGAGGGATGATATCACAATTGTCACAAGCGAGCGCAGCGAGCGAGGGACAATTGTGATATCGTCCCGAGAGCGATAAAACTGATATCACCGAATCCCGAGTACGATAACCTATTTATTATATACTTGTACCTTTATCAGGGTTTGACATCCCAAAGTAAACAGTTTTGAAAAAATAGGATCATTTTAGAATTCAAAACAATTCATCATTTACTGAACAAATATGATTTTAGAAAATAAATAGACCATTCATATAAATAATATACAATTTAAGTCTTTCGTTTTGTATTATCGTTCTTGTTTTCTTCGATAAACTCTCGACATCAACCAACACGAACCTCGAATCGGCCATCTTTGTTTTGACAAGGCGCGAAATTTAGCGGGACAAAAAAACGATATCCGGGACAAAAAACGATATCCGGGACAAAAAACGATATCCGGGACGATATCGTTTTTATGTCCCGCTGCTTCCTACCTGATAAAGGTACAAGTATGTGATAAATATATATATATATATATATATATATATATATATATATATATATATATATATATATATATATATATATATATATATATATATATGTAATCATTATTATTAATATTATTATTATTGGAAATACCAAACATTTTCAACAAAAGATTTTAAAAAAACTAAAGAAATTAAAACTAGAAAACGGGGTAGTGTCCTGGAGATCAAATTTGTCGCGAAGAAATTGCGCATCCTCCTTAATAAGTCAAATAATACGGACCTAAATAATTCCGATAGTCATGATCACGATAACATAATTGGTAAAAACTTCTGGGGTTACGTTAAAAGATTTTTCAAAAAGAGTACCAGCTCACTTCCATAATTTAATATAGCGCAATGTACATCCTATTTTACCAAAACATTCTCCGCGATTAGTCCAAATAAAACATTCAACATCGCAAGTTGGATCCCAAAATTTGCTTCTCCTTAAACGCCTTTTAAGCTTGACCCCCCGACCTATCAAGAGATTACAAAAATCATCCGTAAAATGAAACTGTCTGGCTCACCATGCCCACTTGAACCGGAACCTGTAACCGGAACCTGGAACCGCGCATAATGAATGCAAATTAGAGCATTTTGCACCACAGGAGATATACATAATAATAAAATAGAATAGAATAGAAACTTTATTTTACGAGGGTAAACGTATTAACCATAAAAGTTATCTAACATACGGCCCTCACACTATTTTGATATTTACAGGCATAAGAAGTATTAAAGATTACGACTATTTACATTCAAGAAAAAAAAAATTAGTAATGAATACAATTACAATTTAGTAAATATTTACAATTTATACAAAATGAATCTTCGATATGGTTAGTAAGGTTAAACTTGTTAAGAAAGATTTTACGAATTTTTCGTTTGGCGTTATAGTATATGAAGAGCAAGATGGCGAAGCAGCAAGTTGCTTACAATCGCTATCTAAGCAATTAAAAAGAATGGAAGCACTGTACAGAAATCTTTGTTTAGCAGAGTCGGTACGCGAGAAGGGGGGTTGAAGATCATATGCGCAAGCTCTAGTCAGAGCCCGTTGTCGAATAGAAGATAAGAATTTAAACATTTGCTTAAATGCAGATGGAGCACTGGGATTTGTGAGAATGTTAATTAGTGAGAGAAGCTTCCTAAATTTAACAAGATCAAAGGTTGGGATTATTCGAATCTGGGAAAAAAGAAGAACAGAAGGAGTAGAAAAGTCAGCGTCTAGAATAATACGTGCTGCACGCTTTTGCAGTCGAAGAGTGCGAAGTAAAAGCGTTTTTTGAGCAGTTTCCCCAAGTTACAGAGCAGTAGATAAGACTTGAATTGATACAGGAGTTATAGAAACGAAAAGCATAATCCTTAGTTAAAAAGGGTTTAACCCTGTGTAATAAAGCAAGTCTACTATTAATTGTTGAACACAAGTTGTCAATATGCTTGGTCCAAATTAAAAACTCCTCAAGCGTTAAACCCAACACTTTTGCTTGCTTCACCTGTGCAAGCATGTTGCCATTTAGAATAACTGATAGAGAACGGTCTGAAGTATTCTTAAGTTGTTGGGGAGAATGGATGAGCATGGTCTTGGTTTTCAATGTATTAGTCACCATTCGGTTTTGTTGAGTCCATGTTGAGAGATCTTGAGCAACAAGGTTTCACATTCAAATAATGAATGGAAGAACCTTCTGTTAGTACGGTGGTGTCATCTGCAAACATTGTGGATTCTGAGTGGGAAAGTCGAGAAGGGAAATCATTGATAAATAAGATAAAAAGAATGGAGCCAAGAATACTTCCTTGAGGAACACCTATCTCAACTGGACGCATATCGGATAATGTGTTTTTGAAATAAGTGCGTTGATAACGATCACTAAGATATGACGTAAACCATTTCAATACTAATGGAGAACATCCGAACAGACTAAGTTTCAGAATTAGGATTTCATGATCAACAAGATCAAAAGCCTTTTTGAAATCAACAAGAAGAAGTCCATTTAATTTTTTGTTATCAGTATTAGTTAAAATTTTATCAGTAAGATGAGTGACTGCTAATTCACATGAGCGAGATGTTCTAAACCTTTTTTACCATTTCTGTCGGAACGAAGGAAGGTTCCTTTTTAAGTCCTATTCCTGACCATCCAACTAAGACACTTAAATCTTTACTCGAAATTTATCAATTATTCCAGATAACTGATAAAGCCACACGGATCACTAGAACATCCTCCACACTTATTGATCATTTTATTACCAATGAACCAGAAAAAAATATCCAAATGCGGTGTAATACATACTGGAATTAGTGACCACAGTCTCATTTATGGCATAAGAAAGATTAACATTCGACACAAAGATAATGATAACATAATTGAAATTAGAAATATGAAAAAATTCGATGAACAGCGGTTTTTACAAGACCTAGGAACTCAAACATGGGAACATGTCTATTTTTTTGCAGACAATCCTGATACTATGTGGGAAATTTGGAAACAACAACTTTTCTTACAAGTCCTAGATAAACATGCCCCAATTCAAAACAAAAAAACAAAATCTAAAAAAAATCCTTGGATTACTAGTCATATAAAAAAAACTAATAATTGCAAGAGATAATTTGAAAAGAAAAGTAGTTTTCACTAAACTTATTGAAACAGACTGGGATAACTATAAAAAAAAGCCAGAAATGAAACAAACAATCTTCTAAGACAAACCAAAAAAGAATATTATTTTTTCTGAGTAGAGTCGTCATGGCGGCTAGTCATGTGTTTTGGAGCTCCGCTGCTTTCGTCGTTTTTATCTACTCTCTTATTTGCTTTGGCCATCAATTGGTCTTGGAGAGACAAGGAAGTCCAGATTGTAATGGAATATACCACGAGGATGGATTTTCGGGAGAAGTTTGTCGAAATTTGGAAAGTTTTGCTACATCGTGCCTCGAGAGAAGCTACGATATTTGCAATGTTTGTTGTAACACTACGGTCGGTGTGTGTGATTTTTCGAGCAGATTTAATCATAGTCTAGGTATCGGAGAACGGGAAGCGCTGTATGAATCGATTGAACATTTTGAATATGGGGTATTCATGTATAACTTGCGAGCTTATGGACATACATTTTCCGAAATTTTAGACTTGGGCCATTGCAAAAGTGAAATGATCTGCAATTTAAATTATGTTGAAGCAATTAAACGGGGTTCCGGAAGCCTTTATTTTAGTTCTTTGTTGTTCAAAGCACGAATATGGCCATTAACCTGCAAATTAGTGTTCACCAGACAAACGGGATTATATAAGACAAAGAAATCTAAGGCAAGAGCTTTATATTATGCAAATGCACTGCAACTTTCCAGGTCCTGTTGCTATCTGGGGACATCTCGACAAATCCTGGTCCCGTCAGTGTCAAATGTGATAATTGTATAAAAACTATTCGGAAAAATCAGAAAAGCGTGACTTGTGAGATTTGTTTTGGTCAACAGCATCTAAAATGCACAGAACTTAATACCAAATGTTTAACTTCCACTTGGACTTGCCCAAAATGTTTGTTTACTGTACTGCCTTTTAATAACTGTCCAACTCTAGATATGTCGGATGTTGATGAAAGTTTAAACGCGTCTTATGAGGACATTTCTGAATCTGTTGTAAATATCTTAAAGGAACATCCACGAAATCTCAGTTTAATGCATTTAAATACCCAGAGTATGGTGTCCTCTTTCAACGAGTTCCAGGTCTTTTTATCTCAGTATCCGATGGATGTTATCACTATGAGTGAAACGTGGCTCAAGGAAAATCCCGCACTTTTAGAATACGTTTCTTTGTCCGGTTACGGAGCAGTGTTTCGAAACCGTGACAAGATCCGTGGGGGTGATGTAGGAGCATATATTAGCAACTCGGTCAAGTACAAGCGAAGAAAGGACATTGAGAAGCTTCAACCAAATATGGAACAATTATAGTTTGAAGTGCCAGGACGAAACAAGCACAGTAAAGCATTGATCGGTGTGATCTATCGATCCGAGCGAATTCAAAGCTCTTCAGATTGGTTAGACAGTTTTGAGTCTTTGCTGGGTCATCTCACCGTATCATGGGATGGCCTGCTTTTAGTTACTGGCGATATCAATATTGATTTATTGAAACCTAATGATCCTCTAAGCAAAAAGTATCAATCAATTCTGGAAATTTTTGGGCTTACTCAACATGTCACAAAACCAACACGTGTCACGCAAAATTCAAAAACTTTAATTGATCATATTGTAACCAATGACCCGCATTGTGTGGCAGGTACGGGAATAATCCCAGCTCCTACGATCAGCGACCACGATGCAGTTTTTGCCTGTGTAAACGTTCGTGTGCGCCGTTTTCAACCTAGATACAAATGGATACGACTGGAGAGGAAATTTGTAACCGAAGAATTTCTTCAAGACTCCGCTAACCTTAACCTACCGTTTTCCGTAATATATGGATTAGAATCACCCGACGACATGGTAAATGCACTCAACACTTTGTTTAGTGAATGTATAGAGAGACACGCTCCATTAAAAAGAAGCAAGTTAACACGCCCCCCTGCACCATGGATGAATGCAAATGAAATACGAAAACTACAGGCTGATCGGGACAGACTGCGCTTTGAAGCTCACAAAACCAACAGTGATGATTCTTGGAAGGCCTTTCGAGAAGTTCGCAACAAGATAAAGTCTGTTATTAATAAAACAAAACGAAACTTTATTAAAACTGCTCTTTCTTCTAACAGACCAAAGGAGGTATGGAGAATGATACACCGTATTCTCCACCCTAATAAGAAGCCTCTTCACGCAGATCCAGATAAACTCAATGACTATTTTATTAATACGAACGAAAGGACATTAGGAACCAAGCCAGCTGCACTATCAGATCTACTTGAATTCATTGATTCTCTTTCCGATGGTACAACGCCACAGCAATCATTCTCTTTACGACCCGTTTCGCATCGTGAGGTGTTGTGCGAAATTGACAAACTCCGCTCAGACACATCTACTGGTATTGATAATATACCGGTTAAGTTTGTAAAACTGGCGAGAGAACATCTGGCGGGTCCTTTACAATACATAATAAACAATTGTATTGCTAGGTCGGCCTTTCCAGAAGCGTGGAAAATTGCAAGAATATCGCCCATCCCTAAAATAGATCAACCTTTGTGTGAGGCGGACTATAGACCTGTCTCAATTTTGCCGGCGTTATCAAAGGTATTTGAGCGGCTTGTTTTAAATCAGATGATTGCGTATATTGAAGAAAGGGCGCTTCTTGGAGCTACGATATCTGGATTTCGAAAAGGGCATTCGACAACAACTGTGTTGCTGGGTATTCGAGACGCGTTGATTCGAGCATCAAAGAAAGGAGAGGTAACTCTAATGGTTTATGCAGACTATAGCAAAGCTTTTGATACTGTACAGTTCAGGTCTGTTCTGACTAAAATGCATGGATTGGGTTTTTCAAAATCATTTCTGCACTGGATGATTAACTATCTTACAAATAGACAACAGTTGGTACAAATCAACGATAGTAAATCTAGTCTTCTTACCGTAGAATTTGGCGTACCACAAGGCTCAGTTCTTGGACCGGCGATTTTCAATCTATACGTCGCTGATTTACAGGAAAAGCTTCAACTACCTTGCTATCAATATGCGGACGATACATCGTTTTATACCCATTCAAAAGTATGTGATCTAGACTCGGCTGTAAAAGACGTTAATGATGCTATAGTGCGATTGGTCGATTATTCTCAATGCTCTAATTTGGCACTGAATTCCTCCAAAACTGACTGGATGCTAGTTTCCACACCTCAGATGGCGCGTGCTCATGATCTGGGTGACCGTACGTTTAGTATTAAATGTGGGGACAAATTCCTTGAACGAATAAAATGTAAAAATCTTCTAGGAATTTATTTGAACGAGCATCTTTCATGGTCTTCACATATCGACTATTTGCTAACTTCTTGTTATGGAATACTAGCAGTGTTGAAAAAGCTGAAGAATTTGACGCCTTTCCATGTGAGAAAAACACTGGTTGAAAGCCTTGTGCTTTCCAAAATTGACTATGCTAGTCCTGTATTCCACCCATTGCCAATATACCAACAAAAACGACTTCAACGCCTCCAAAATGCATGCGCGGGTTTTGTGTTAAGGAGATTTGCAAGACAGGAAGACCTTGCCACCTTGAACTGGCTAAACATTAGTAAAAGGATGGATTTTAATATTTTAAAATTAGCATATAAAGCTTTACATGACGATTCTTTTCCAGAATATTTAAGATTATCGCTACATTGCGTTAATGCATATAGTCTAAGATCATCTTCTGCACCTGTCCTGGATATTCCCAAGGAGTCAGGAACATTTCAAGACTCAGCAGCCTCCATTTTTAATTAGCTTCCGGCAGAAATCAGGAATATTAACAATTTTAGAACTTTCTGTCGTTGTATAAAAAAACATTGTAAAAACAGTGAATGATTCCGATTTGCATTGCAATTGGATTATTTGTCTTTTTTAACTTTTGTAGTTCTTGTATGATAATAGATTACTGTATATTTAGTATAATGTAGATAATTTTACAGGTGAAGAGCCATTCTGTTTGTAATGGATATGCTGTGAATAAACCATTATTATTATTATTATTATTATTATTAAGCCAAGTCGGCTTTTTTTAATGTTTTCAGGGGGTGACGGCCTCTCCTTAGCGCACTGGCAAGGAACATAGCGAGTGCTTTGCGAATCAAGGCGTGGCGGCGGTTACGCTAATATCAAAGACGCCGACAAAATGTTGTACTTCTGTATGCGTTTAATCTGTGGTTATATAGGTTTTCAGTCGACTGAAATTTGCTTGAGAAGGTTATTTCTTGCAACTACTTTTAGTGAATAACAGAATTGTTACTACTCTTTTTTAATTAAGTATTGAATAATATTTTATTTTAGGAATTGTTGCAGTAGTCGATGCGAGATATGGTTTAATGGTGAGTAATTTACAGCAATAATACATTTTTTTATAAAATGTATTTAAATAATGTTTTAAGTATAGGTAATAGCATTAATTTACATAAAAATGTTCGAGACAATTGCAGTTTTAACTTATGCGTTTATAGCGAACATTCCACTGGCAAAGTTTTCCTGGCTTTATTATTATATCGCATTATACAACGCTAACAGCTTGAAAATTGCACTCAACAGTGTAACTTTGTTAGTCTTGTTTAAGGTAAAGGCTTTTCCATTTAAAAATAAAGATAAAAGCCATATTTTCCACGCGAAGTCAACTTTTACTTTATGTAGCGCGGCGCCATGTTTGTTTTGTTTTGTTTTGTTTTGAAGCAATCCGTGTCCGTTATACTGCTTTAAACTGATTGGTTGATTTTATCATCACAATGTTTTGCCACCAATCAGATCAGTTTGTTACAGATTTTTGCACTGTTGTTACAGAGTTTTGCACTGTTGTTACAGATTTTTGCACTGTTGTTACAGATTTTTGCACTGTTGTTACAGATTTTTGCACTGTTGTTACAGAGTTTTGCACTGTTGTTACAGATTTTTGCACTGTTGTTACAGATTTTTGCACTGTTGTTACAGATTTTTGCACTGTTGTTACAGATTTTTGCACTGTTGTTACAGATGTTTGCACTGTTGTTACAGATTTTTGCACTGCTGTTTGGGATTAAATGCACTGAAACCTACCAATCACAGTCGAGTAATATTTCTATGTATATTATTAATAATGTAATAAGATTAGCATTTCCATGGCGCAAATTTTCATGTGGATATCATCAAATGCGCTTTACATCAAGTATTACGCTTATACCTAATTACAAACTTAGCCCAGACTATTTTATCTTTACAACAATTGTGATATTATTTCGTAACTGTGTTTATCCTATATAACCTGGCCTCCCTGTCAACTTTCCTTGTGGGAGGAAACCGCAGCACTTGACAAAAAATCCACGACTTTCGGCAGAGCGTTGACGGACTCTCTTGCTCTGACGACTGCGCCATAAACAGCCCTTATTCAGCAAATTGCGCATGCTCCCTTGCCTTTGATCCCTTGGAGGTGAGGCAGCACTTTCCTTGCGATAGTAACTTCTAGTATAAATATATTTTCTTACGAACCTGAAATTCGCACTTTCGCGAGCAAATTTCACGGTTGTAACCCACAGAATCGTTCACAGAGACCATTTAACATCAACATCTTACCTATAGGCAGGCCAGACCGGTTCCCATAAAAACGCAAGATGAAAATTATTATAAATTACATAGCAACGTTAGATCTCGGGAATGCGAGCTACCTCGGGCACCCGGGCTGGCTTGCCTCCAAAAAAATACCCCTTAAATTGACCAGAGTTTCTCGAAACATTCACTGTCAACACCAAGTGGAAATTTTTATATGCATTTATCAGACCCAACCAGGAACAACTGCGAAAAATGCAACTTTAGGTCCCTGGCAGGAATCGAACCTGCGGCTGTGATTCCGGTGCAGTGCTCTAACCAACTGAGCTACAGAGGCCTGTTTTCGAGCTCTAACCACAAGTTCGTCAATATATACTAGGGTGCTGCCATGTATAGGTTAAGGATAAGTATCAAGATTTTGTTGGCATCTCACTCGTTTGAATAATAGTTGAAGGGTACTGTAGATGGAAATTATCGAGTGGAAATTTATAAACAGTTTAGACCCAACAGGGACAGCTGCAAAAATGTGCCGGCTAAACTTGCATTTCTCGCAGCTGTTCTTGGTTAGGTCTAATAAATGTATATAAATTTCCACTCGATAATTTCCATCTACAATACCCTTCAATTAACAACATCACACTACTTGTTCATTGTAATGATCTTTAATTGTGGAAAATAATACAATGGATATATACATCTGTTTGTTTTGATTTTAGCATCTAACAAAAGAGAAAAGTGATGGAATGCTTAACGAATGCGTCAGGTACCTGATTAGTCATGACCCATGAGTATATACTGCATTTCCTCGTCAGGACACGTGTTCGTATTCAGGAACCTGGTTCATTCAAGGAACATGCAGTTCACCGCACGTGTCAAATACTGTACATCTTTTCTTTCTAGTGAGAGAAATCGAGTCTAATTTTCATTAATCTTTAGACAAGTTGCTTTGGCTGATGTACTGATTATTAACAAACTAGACTTAATTGGAGACACAGAACTAGTAAAACTACGAAATTTGCTCAGGTATAAACCTCTCATATCATACTATAGGCCTATATATGAGGATGGTCATGGAGTGCTAGGGGACACCTTCCCTCCCAATTTGGGCACAAATCGTAAGAAAGTAGGGCAATCTCTAACTCATGAATCTATAGCAATTTTCTCGGGCAGTTGATGCCTCGATAGTTTCATGCAAATAGATTATTTTTACTGTATTTTGTAATCGCACAGATAATATACCTTTGTAATAAAGGAATAAACAGGCATGTTGCTCTATCTCAGGGCAAAATTGTTAGGCATTTAATTTAAAGTAAATTTTATGGAAAGGTAATTTTATGGAACGATATTTTTCGATGTTATAGTCGTTAGTGTAGGTTGAGGCAATTTGAGGCTGATAATAACCATCAAATTTTTGTGCAACGCTTGTCAAAGAATTTCGATTTAGTTGCGTCTGAAAAAAGTTCTGTTATTGTGGGCGTTCCCCATGCAAGGGTCGCTATTCCTTCTGTACATACCTGTAAATGACTACTGCATTTTACATATATAGTCCATGAAGTTTGAAGCTTTTTAAGACATGCATGGATTTTTGAGAATCTCTGACTGCTCTATAGCTTCAGTAAATGGAATTCGTCTTGGTTATCCAGCATTTAAAATGTTATTTAATTTTGCTAAATTGTTATTAAATAATGTTGTTTTGGCAAACGGAACTCAAATTTTGAAAGAGGACACCCAAAGTCGCCAAACATATAACGTATACATATACAAGGTTCGCATCGAACCTCCAAAACATTTGGTGAAACGTATGTTCCAAATGATTGCAGGATAATAAGATAATAAAGTCTTCACAACATTTATTGTAGAAGTATAAACGCCACGTGCACGTTCAAAGAAACTGAAAGATCAAGGTAATTATTTTAAAGTATACTGCATGTACATTCATAATAATGTCGATGTAATTATATAAATGGAATGTGTTTTTCAGGAGATAAATGCTGGAAATACAGCTCGCATCTGTCTGTGGCATCCCAAAAGCAGAAAGTAGACTTCAGTCACCTGCCCAGGCACTTTGAAAAAAGTCATACTATAGGGATCTCTTGGTGCGTCGGAGTGCTTAGCGGGGACGCGACGGAAATGACAAAAATTCTTTCCCTACAACTTCCCCCATGGAACCTCTCCAAGTACGCCCCAATCTCGTACCCAGAGCAATGCCTGTGCGCGGGCTAGGATGGCATTGGCTCTGGGGAAATTGATTTTTTCCTGTGTTGTGATTGGTTTAGCGTTTATCAATCGTGCATGCCGAAAAAGAACCGGAACCCTAAATTTAGGGGTTCCGGTTGTCAATTTCCCCAGAGTCAATGCCATCCTAGCTCGCGCACAGGTATTGCTCTGGGTACGAGATTGAGTACGCCCCGCATAACTTTTTGAAAGCGCCGCGGTTACAAGGCTGGTGCGTTTTGACAAAACATTGACCTCTTCTTCGTTCATGCTACTGTAGTGGTTATCCTGCTATTTGTGTTTGTTTTCTGGCTACAAGCTAGGTCTAACTTTTTCTTGCAGCTGGACAATTCCGTCTATAGTTATACTGTATGTGCGTAGCGGTTTGTCTCGCAAATAAATATATAATGTTACCTTTGTATGGAATTATATGAAATAATGTGTTAACTCATTCGTGCTCACTGTTCATTGTTAACTCATTCGTGCTCACATTTGTATAGATATGAATATTTGTCAAGCTTTCATGTTTGTTAAGAGCATTTTTGACAGGGACCTTGTTCCCAGGGTCTTAAGTTGCTGTTCCTAAAACATTTACATTATACAAACATTTAAGTTTCCCATGAGAATAGAAAAATGTTTTTATCTGCATGATACTCCATGTTTATCTTGAATTGCAAAAAACCGTGAATGTCGTTATAGCATTCGTTGCGATTAGATTGTAAAATGTTAATGTCCGATCCGTCAGTGAAAATTTGAGAAATTTAAAAACCCTTTCGAGCAAACGCCTTTTAATTAAAGACCGCTCTCCTGACTTGCGTTGGTTAGAAATCTCGAGAAGTATATTTGCAGGTTGACAGGTATCAACATCCAGTGCATGTTAACCAATGCTAAATCACCTAATTTTATCTTACCCAAATGCTTACCTATATACTAGAGTTACTTTTCTCCTACATATAGAGTAAACATCGATGAAATATTGGACTTACATATGTTTGATAACGCGATAAAAATGTGGGTATTTATATATTTTTCATATAGCATGCATTCATTTCATGTTCACGAGACGTGAAATGTTCAAATTTGTTTTCGTTTTTATTGCAGAAATAACGAGAAACTGCAAATGTTTGATCTGCCGCAAGCTTCACAGCACATTGATAAGGTACTGTGTACTATAGATTGCAAACTATGAAGAAGGTTCTTGCAGTAAACATGCTATATGGCTGAAATGGTTCAACGCGTGTCGGGTATATCTCTCAACTTCACGCCGCGCGTACCTTGTAGCGCATTGCAGAATTAAACTCACTTACCTTAATTGCCTTTAAAACCTTTGGCTCTGTGGAGGGAGAGAGGCGTTGTATCAGTGGTTGTAGTATACCTGGCCCAAGCCGATAAATTGAGTGTTTTGATTCTCAACGATTCGAGGTTTTGCATATTTTTATATGATGCAGTTTTTTTCTATAGTTGAAGGGTTTTGTAGATGGAAATTATCGAGTGGAAATTTATATACATTTCTCAGACCCAACCAGGAACAGCTGCGAAAAATGCAACTTTAGGTCCCTGGCAGGAACCTGCGGCCCTGTGTTTCCGGTGCTAACCAACTGAGCTACAGAGGTCAATTCAGTTGGTTAGAGCACTGCATCGGAATCGCAGGGCCACAGGTTCGATTCCTGCCAGGGACCTAAAGTTGCATTTTTCGCAGCTGTTCCTGATTAGGTCTAATAAAAATGTATATAAATTTCCACTCGATAATTTCCATCTAGGCCTACAATATCCTTCAACTAGTATTCAATCGAGTGGCCAACAAAATCTTCATATTTACCCATATATATACTTTTTTCTATGTCGCGTATATTTGCGATGAAAAGTCTTCAAAACCGAAAATCGTTTTGGCGTATCTCTCCAAATGCTTTGTTTTAGCTTTATATTCTCTAGTTTATACAGTTAGCTACCTTTAATAGTTAAATGCATATGCCGTTTGAGAAACGTCAAATAATAAGAAAAAATGGTCAATTAAAATACAATTATCAATGTTTTTAAAGCGACGCCATATTTACAGCATGTTATACCATAAGCAAAACTTTTACTGAACTTCAGACATCATTTTCTCTTTGGCGTTCCATCTAAAAACTCTTCATTTTAGCATTATTTTACAGATAAGGCACTAAACATACTTTTTAAGTTTGAGAAACGTATCGAAAAATATTTGAATGTATAGTCATAAGTTATTAGCTTCTTAAATTCTAAAACTGCATGTAAAAGAGAATAACTTAGCAAAAATGATAAAACTGCAAATTAGTTATAAACTTTATAATCAGTTCGGGAGAAAATGGTTCAACTCACCACAGGCACAGAACAACGAGTTTTACTTCGACTTCGTTTTGTCTATAACATAAAAATAATTAACGCTGCGTGTTTTTACATGAATCTCTAAAGGCCTAAAATTTTCTTGTGTCAAGCTTTTATGCACTTGTCGGTTCAGCAGAGACAGTGCTGAGGCATTCAAATTCTAACAATATGTTATTTCTATAGAGTATAGTTTTGTTTTTTTCGGACACTATGTGGCATTAGCCTGCGAATCTTTATCATATAAAACGTGACGTACAATATTTTTGTGAGGTACATTTGCAGTCCCAAATTGTTTATTTATTTATTTGTCATTTGCAGAACTCGAACATTATCAAATAGTGAAAAATATATAAATGCTCGTGCGTGTAGCTTTTTTGGATATTTTAATTGTGAAGATAGCCGCACGACAGAGTACAGAATGTACAAATGTCGCACATAGAATGTTGAAGTAAAAGTGTTACCGACCGTACTAAAACACTCTGTGCATGCAGTAGATAAGATATTGATTGCAGTGATTTTACAGATAAGCTGTTTTTCACAATTATCCATTGTCCAGCAACTGAATATGAAATGAGTGTTTACATTGTCGAGTGAAGACTGCAATCAAACATATTTATATGATCGCCCAGCCCTATTATTGAAATGTTTAATCAGCATGAAAATTAATATTATTGGCTCTGCTATACAAACAGGGATCTCAGCAAGTGGCAATCACTGAGCGGTATTGAATTAATATCGCCGCTGAAGTATTTAGTGGTATTAAACACCGCTTGTTTATTATATCCGTTCCTTCGAGTTCGTAGTTCGTCCCGTTGCAGAGTTACGAATGATGAAAGTACGCAACTTATTCCCACGAATTATTGCGTTGCTTCTCCTCACGCTTCAAGCAGTGTTACTGGATTATTTTCTTGTCAAACATCAAAGCATAAAATGGCTGGCCTGGGTAGTCACTGATGTATTTATAATAATCGTGTGGACCATGGCTATGTTGGGCTCTACTATACCGATGTGTGGCTTGTTACGAGGTTGGCTGGTAAAGAACCCTAAAGGCAATGATTTCACTGCAACTTATGTGGCCTGGCTAGCGTATGCCGTACATTTTGTCCCTCAAGTTGCGACTATCTTCAAAGTATTTGCTGACGAGCTTGACAGAGAAGGTCTTTTTAATCCGAACTTTTTGAAATTAACTTTATCTATCACCCCGATGCTGTTTGTGTGTCTAGTGTACTCACATCACAAGTCTAGAGAATCTTTCGCTCGGAAAACCTATGTTCAAATTCTCGTGAGTACTGTGACACTCGACCTGTTTGATTCCATTGAGATATTAGAATATTTGTTTGACAAGGAGTTCATATCGTCGTCAATCGAGACTTCAATCATTCTATTTGCTTGTATTAACTTTTGTCTGCCCGTGTTAGCTCTTTATGAATTGAAAAACAACGAATTTCGTGAGACTGGCCAAATTCCTGCTGTATCGTTTAAGCTCCTGTACGTCTTATCATTTCTCTGCTTCGTGAATATTCCGTTCTTAGTGATTCGTGTGTACTTGTGGCATACGTTCAACCTAGACGTCTCCATCCTCTTTGCAAAGAATATTCTGGGCATTTACTTTGGTTTCACCGAGATTTACGAATATTACAGCGAGACAAGACCTACGAGATGTGATTCTTGTAACGAGACATTCGCCAAAAGCCATGTCAAGAATCACATGAAGACATGCCCGGTACAACCCGAGGAAACGGACGAAGTAACGGATGAAAGCTGCAGCAACGGGCAGCAGAAAACTTATCTCTAGTCTGGGCTTATTGAAACCATGAACTTAAGTGTACATATAAGATCATAACTTAGTCTTAGATAAATACTAAGTATACCTAACACAAGACGAAGATGGTCTAACATAATTATATTATGCGTCTATATTCGACCATATGCAGCCTTGACCAAGTTGGCTAGGGCAGTCGGTTTCATTTATATATTTAAGTGTGCGGAACTTCAATCAAAAGTTACATTAGATGCGCGGTGAATGTTTGCTGGCGTTTGCATGAAGTATATGGACACTCATTATTTCCGCGGAAAATATATTAATTCTGTATGGCAAACAAGTTTTCGGCTTTTGCCTATTTTGTAAAGCTCCTGGACACGAGGCTGGGGTATTTATGTATTTTTGTAAAGTTTTTTTTTTGTAAAGACGTCGAATTTCCGTGGAAGTTAATTCGAATTTAATGCTTCTGAATTTTACTCGACGGAATTTCGAAGTCAGTTTCTGTTAACGTCGCATTACGAACCTCCAGACCCTTTTCCGACTCAACTCTCAAGAGTCGGCAACGTTTTCTGCGGCAAACATAAAAGTTTCTTTTAATCCACACATGATATTGAAAAATTTACATAACCCCTAGACTGGCAACAGTTACAAAATCGAAATTATCGTGCAGTGAAAAGGAAATGAATGCAAGTGCATGGCAGTTTAATTAGCATGCGATTGTGTTATTTTGCATGAGCTCTTCATTTCTATGAAGCCGGCTTTATATTAAAAAATAATGATTATTTTACTGTGTCATATTCGTCATGGATACAGATGAGTATTTTAAGCCTGATCGGTATTTGTCGGTATTCGGACAAAGACGTGTATAATAATTAATGAAATATAAAGGCCCGTTTACTTTATTATTGTAATTAATTTTATAAAAATTGTTGATACAAGACAAGGGCAAGATATGCGTGTGCAGGGTTCTGTTCGCATGTTATTGCATGTTGCGATGAACAGTGCATGCATTGTCCAGCACAAAGTAAATCTGAATTACTCGTTTTAGAATGTAAGAACCGTGAGTCTAAATTTGGAAGGTGAAGTGAACGAAGATTTATTAGACAACTGGCTACAGGTAATCTAGAAACTCACCAGTATGTTATTTAACACAAAACATTTTTTAGTTTTAAAATTCCATTTGTCGTGTTGAATTTACATCTTTTATAAGAATAAAAGTATATCTACCTCCCTTCAACTTTTTGAAAGTTTGGAAAAGCGTACGCAAAGTCAAAGAGAATGTTGCAGATTTCGTTGTCTGCCTTTATTGCTTTAACGAATAAAACTGCCCGTACGGCTGGTTCGACACACACGCGCGCGTCTCTTTTTACAAACTTTATTAAAACACATTTAACTAAATTTAACAATAAAGTCTTCCATAATACAATTATAATACATTACCACAATAATCCGACGACATACAGTCTGCACATAGGCTATGTCACAGTTAAGTAATGGAAATTTATATACATTTATTAAACCTAACCAGGAACAGGTCCCTGGCAGGAATTGAACCTGCGTCCCTGCGATTCCGGTGCAGCGCTCTAACCAACTGAGCTACAGAGGCCAGTTTTCGAGTTCTAACAACAAGTTAATACTAGAGTACTGCCATGTATAGGTTATGGGTATAAATATCAAGATATTTGTGGCATCTCACTCGAATGTATAATATTTGATGGGTATTGTAGATGGAAATCGTCGACATAAATAAGTGGTATCATTATAGGTACCTGCATGTATCAAATATCATTCATTCGAGTGAGATGCCACAAAAATCTTGGTGCTTAACTAATGACTTTTCCAGTTGTGAACTTAGTGAACTTGACCTTGAATGGTATTGCAATCTGTATTTATGTTAACATTATAAAGTATTGTTGTGTGCATGCGTCCAAAGCTGTCATCTGCATTCAAATTAATCTGCCAAATTGACCTGACTCTCAATATGTCATGTACGAATGTTAAGTAAATGCTCTCAAAATTGAAACTGCAGCCAAGCGAAAATGTGCATGTGACAGATATGGTCATATCTGTACGGTGGCCCATACGGGCCAACCCTTCTCCGTACAAACTTGCACCTTCTCCGTACAAATGTGTTGTTATTCCATGGAAATCAAACTTCTCCGTGGAATGTTGCCGTTGTTCTGTCACGGAAAGCCTTTTCTCCGTACAAATATGCAGTTTCTCCGTGGAAACACGCATCTTCACCGTGGAAACACCGCAGCTTCTCCGCGGAAACGCGTAGCATTTATGTGAAACACGATGCGGTGGCCCGAACGGGGCACCTCTTCTCCGCAGAAACATGCAGCTTCTCCGTAGAAACACGTGCCTTCTCCGTAGAAACACGTGCCTTCTCCGTGGATGAGCACTTTCCTTGTGAATTAAAAAAGGCACGCCCCCTGAATATTTATTGGTTTTATACGACAGGGGGGGGGGAGGAAGAGAAAATAAAATCACAACGCAACATCGTGGTCAAAACATTACAAGCCAATTTTATAAATATGAATGCTTTAATATGGGCACAGATATCCAGCATATAAATTGTGAGAATTGCCAGGCAGAGATTTTGATCGTTTATAGCTTTTGTAACAATTGTGGAAATAGAGTTGATACTGACTGGTAAGTATACATACTAAGTTTTACTTTTTTATATTTATGTTTAATATCATTTTTATTTGTGGATTTATATTTTATAAATTGAATATTTAAAGGTGCCCTACAGTCCGTATGTAAACAAAGCCTTTGTCTACATTTTTGTGTCCAAAATATTGAGCTTTATTCGACAACTATCTATATTTTCAAGCTTCTAGAGTATAATAAATGATCAAGAAACAACAATCGGGCTTTTCAAGAACCCAAAACATAGTTAAACTGTTTGTATCATAAAAAGTGGGCTCCTTTGTGCACATGCGCAGATCGGACTATAGAGCACCTTTAAATATACACCGTATTAATCTGTCAGTCAGTCTCGTATACGGATCTGCTAGTGTAGGTATTTGTATATCCACTCAATTTACAAAATATAAATCCACAAATAAAAATGATATTAAACATAAATATAAAAAAGTAAAACTTAGTATGTATACTTACCAGTATATCAACTCATTTCCACAATTGTTACAAAAGCTATAAACGATCAAAATCTCTGCCTTGCAATTCTCACAATTTATATGCTGGATATCTGTGCCCATATTAAAGCATTCATATTTATAAAATTGGCTTGTAATGTTTTGACCACGATGTTGCGTTGTGATTTTATTTTCTCTTTCCCCCCCCCTGTCGTAAAAAAACAATAAATATTCAGGGGGCGTGCCTTTTTTAATTCACAAGGAAAGTGCTCATCCACGGAGAAGGCACGTGTTTCTACGGAGAAGGCACGTGTTTCTACGGAGAAGCTGCATGTTTCTGCGGAGAAGAGGTGCCCCGTTCGGGCCACCGCATCGTGTTTCACATAAATGCTACGCGTTTCCGCGGAGAAGCTGCGGTGTTTCCACAGAAATGCTGTGTGTTTCCACGGTGAAGATGCGTGTTTCCACGGAGAAACTGCATATTTGTACGGAGAGAAGGCTTTCCGTGACAGAACAACGGCAATATTCCATGGAGAAGTTTGATTTCCATGGAATAACAACACATTTGTACGGAGAAGGTGCAAGTTTGTACGGAGAAGGGTTGGCCCGTATGGGCCACCGTATATCTGAGATAAAAAGATTGACAGCTCAACTGATCTCTGACTTGTGTAACTGAGATTTAATTCCTTATTGTGTGAATCTCTCCATAGGAATTACTTTGGGAAAAGAGTTTTCGTAATTCAGATGGTGATCTGATGGATATTTTACGATTCAAGGTATTATAATATATTATAATATAGCATTTGTAAATTCTGAACGCTGATTGGCTAAGAGCCGTGTTGATATAACTCCATGTCAACACGGGAAATTTTCCGCCGCTTGTAACACGGAAATTGTTCTTATTCTTCGTGCTTTTGACATTGCTATATTATAAAACAAATATAAAACATCTTTTCCGTATTGATATTTAGTTATATCAACACTCGTGGAAGTTGGGAAAACTCGAAATTGTGTGAAAACACTCCGCCCTTCGGGCGTCGTGTTTCCACACAATTTCTCGTTTTCCCAATTTCCACTCGTGTTGATATAACTGTATATCAACACGGAAAATGTTTTATATTTGTTAATTATAAATTGTAGCTCCTATAAGACCACCTATTTATCAATGGAGTAAATAGAAGAGATCTTAAACTTCAGAAGAAAATGCCATCGCCGTAGCAAGCAAGCGCGTGTGTGGAGCAGATGGGGATGGGAACGAAAAAACCGAATACCTACCCTCCCATAGAAATGGCCTCGGTCCGCTATTGTATCATTCACACAATAGTCGTGACATAAAATTCTACTTTGAGATGTAACTCGTACCCAGTCCCTGAATGAGGATTGAAAAAAATAATGGCGCTCAAGTTTCATGCGTCACACTCCTCAGTCCACTGATCTATATATGTACGCATTTACGACTGAGTCAGCTTCGAGACTCGGTAACTAAAATCTTAATTAAGCATTTCTTAGGAATCACTGAGATTTGGTTTTATACGTAGACACTTTTAACTTTGCTATATAGGCACTCATATCGTTTCGTGGTTCTCGCAAAAAAGTTATTGTTCAAGCTGTTCATGAGCTGTTTGATAAAGTAGCTACAGAAGAATGGATGGAGGGTGAAGAACGAATAAACAGACTTATTTTTATTGGTAAGCAAATAAAAGCAATCACAGACCCATTACATAACTCACATGCTTAATGATACCACTTATTTATGTAAGTAGCAGAATGGGACAAAGATAACCAAGCATCATCTGTCAAGAGGCAAATAAACTTTACACTGCACAAAATTGTATGCACAAGTATGCAGTTGTTGCACCATGGTTGCACTAAGTTGTAAAGGACATGTGTGACAACTGAATGGTGTAGTTTTGTCAAGTTTTTGGTCGGGGGAACTGGGTAGTTGTTTTTTATTGATATTTGAGCTTGAATTTTGACTCTTTAATGGTTGGATCAGCAAACGTTTTACCAAGAAAAACATTTCTCTTCGGTGCCAACCTCCCCCCCATAAATAGCCAGTAATGAGTTCCTAAATGGTATGGTGGTGGGATAGCCACCTACCTCATATATGCTTATTTCATTCGAAAGCTTGGTAACATATTGGTTAGAGTCAAAATATTGAATAAAGTTACTCAAATGTGCATGTGAGAAACTTTTTTAGTAAAAAAGTGAAAACAAGAGCAAGTTTGAGTGTATTTGCTCATAAAATTTTGAGTCACTGCGGGTGCATTATTTGTTTTGTCACAAGTTTTTGAGTCAAAATATTGAATAAAGTTACTCAAATGTGCATGTGAGAAACTTTTTTAGTAAAAAAGTGAAAACAAGAGCAAGTTTGAGTGTATTTGCTCATAAAATTTTGAGTCACTGCGGGTGCATTATTTGTTTTGTCACAAGTTTTTGAGTCAAAATATTGAATAAAGTTACTCAAATGTGCATGTGAGAAACTTTTTTAGTAAAAAAGTGAAAACAAGAGCAAGTTTGAGTGTATTTGCTCATAAAATTTTGAGTCACTGCGGGTGAATTATTTGATTTGTCACAAGTTTTTGAGTCAAAATATTTTTTTTCAGTATAGAGACGTTCTTGCCAGTTGTCCCACATACCATGAATTGTTAGTCTATCAGACTCACTTTGAAGTGCTAGTGTTTAGGATTTCATATCAACTGAGGCAGTAACGCTCATATATAAATATCGAATTCATAACAGTTTAGTACCTTTAATATAATCGTATATATAATCGCGTATATTATTCACTGCCGGGTTCATGAAAAAATAAACCAAAATGATGTCTGTCGGAAGCGGGGGGCTGGAGAGGGGGGGAGCTTGAGCCCCTCCCCCCAATAATTTCCATTTGTATAAGCAAAACACACAAAAGAACTACAAAAGAAAGCAATTCAGATTTATTCAACAAAGTGAAGTAGTACAAAGGCTACAAGCTAGTACAGTACTAAGACAAAGGCTACAAACTATCGGTGATCAAACCTCGTCCCCAAACTCCTCGATCCTCCTTGATTGAGCCCCCCCCCCCATTCTCCCAAAAAATAATATTACTTCCGACGGCCTTGCTGATCCAATCCGCAAGATATGTTCCTGGGGCCGGTTGTATAAAAAAGTAGTTCATGTTAACTACAGTTATTGCGAAAGTTAACCGATCAAAATCGCGTATATTTTAGAGTTAACTACTATTTAACTACAAAATATATAGCGATTAAAATGTAATCAAGCGTTTTATACAACCAACCCCAGAAGGAGACGTTTCTTGCAGGATACAATTTTCGAACCTCTTTTGTGAATAATTTTCCCCCCATATTTTCCCAGGATCTAACCTAGATCAAGGTATTCTGGAAGAGAGTTTTACAGAAATGATCAAGAAATGTCGGAGCAGATCAGAAGAGATGTGACTTCCATTGAATTGTGTAAATTGCAAGTCAACTGACTGCATGATGCAATGAAAATTGACCAAAAAGTTATAAACTACAAAAAGTGAAAGATGTTATGCATGGATGCAGTTTACCAGCGCAAGTAGACACTACCTGAAAATCGGACGTCGTAGTCCGTGTAATGAATGCAGAAATATATCCCGGCGAAAAATCAAATAGTTGAGGATATCATTAGTATGCAGGAAGCAGCTTTATCAAGCCCAGATAACTTATCATGAAGAAAACAGAACCAGGAAATGAAGTTAATTGGAAATGCTGTTATATATGAAACGGTTGTCATGCTGTTATGTTGGGGAGGGGCTGGAAGAGTAGACTCTTCTGGGGAGGTTGGAGTACACTATACCGCTGAACGTGGTAGTATACTTTAGTGGACTGTAGAAATCTGGGGCTGCTTGTAAAATTCGTAACTGCTTTGGTTATAGTAACTCTAAAATATACGCGACTTTGATTGGTTAGTTTCGCACTAACTGTGGTGAACTTTAACCACAACTGTTTTATACAACCACAGTGGATGAAAATTTTCAAGTATCTAACATGAGTCAACATCTTGGCCAGGCGCAAGTCGCAACAATGTTAACCTGCGATCAGGCCCTCTATGTTACAACAATGTTGCATACATGTTGGCAACATGTATGCAACATTGTTGTAACATAGAGGACCTGATCGCAGGTTAAGGTGGCTCGATAGGAAAAATCGACCATTTTTGATAGCTTGTTTCATTGCTACAGAATATATGGAATGATATTATTTTGGGGGGGCAGAAGTAACACACTTAGGACATTAACCAAAAAAAATTTGGTGCATATTTATTGAATTGCACTAGTGTAGCACCCTTACTACTACAGCCTACTTTTCCGTCATTGCAAATTAAGGCATCGCAAGAAACTTGATATTGGC